CTCCACTGAGAACAGAAAATGTGTCTTCACCTTTGCAACCCAGGTCTAAGTCCTACATGTGATTCACAGGACAAGCTCCATAAATGCTTTGAAATCAATGTGAAAGTTAATATTATGAACAGTATCTCAGGTATATTCTAAATCGAATATTTAAGCTTATTACTATGTGCCCTAGAGTAATAATAATAATGAAATATACAGAATGTTAAAAAGGAGGAATATAGAAAATGAAAATGTTATTGACTCAGCAGGGTAGGATTCATTAATAAGACCTGATAGTTACTAACACCTTATTCTGGGTTAGATGCTGTGCTAAGTGTTTCAATATGTTATTTTATTTAATACTCATCAAAACCTTTTAAGGAAAAATAATATTATTCATATTTGAAAGATGAATAAAGTGAAGCACATAGGAACTAGGTATCTTGCCTAAAGCCGCAGAGTGAATAAATAAGGAAGCCAGAATTTGAATCCAGGCACTCAGAATAGAACCCTGAAGCTAAAGCTGACCTGTGGTAGGAGAACAAGCTCAGACAGTAGGATCAAAGGCAAAGACCCAGAGAGCAATTAAGACAACATTAGAGCAAGAGGGATGATGGAATGGCAACGTGAGGACATGCATAAATTAGGCTCCTTGTCTCGGTAATTTAGAAGTAGGCTGAGAATTTGCTGGTAGGAGTGGTATGTCAAGTGCATGTTTTAAAATAGAAACCATACTTTATTAACTATGTGCTATGTCTGTAGTTAGATTCAAATTTTGACAACTTGAAAACAAATAAATATCTCATTATGATAAAGGTAATTACTAAGCAAGGAAAACAAAATGAATCATCCTTGGTAGCTATACAAATGTACCATGACACCAGAAATAAACACCTAGAAGAACAAGTGAAACACAAATCTAAGCAGGCACTTTACAGTTTTAAATAAGCACACATCTACTTTTTTTAAAATTTGAAGTTATCTCTATCAATCGGCAATGCATTTATTGCAAGTTTTCCATAGAGTCCCTACCTTGTGCTATCGGTTGTAGAAAAATTTAAGTAAGAAGGAGGAGGTGGGTAGAGGAAATAGAAAAAGAGAGAGAGAAAGCACCCTTGACTCCCAACGCTGCAGCTATCAATTCTAATTCAGTTGCATTTGACCAATGTGTATTAAACTTCCATCTTGAAGCATGGATAGTGCTCAATGATGGAAATACTGGTGGAAACATCATAGATACAGTCCCTCCCCTAAAAAGGTCACAGTCACGTAGTAGATACAGGCACAGAGGCAGGTAGTGGCAACATAACAGGGAAAGAACAGGGAACAGTGGGAGTACCTAGCGGGGTACCCAAGGCAGATTTTGTAAGTCAGAGAAGGCTGCCAGGAGGAGGTGAAATCTAAACTGAAATGAAGAAAGAATTTTTTTGTCAAGAGGACTGGAAGAAAGAATCTCAGCAGAGGGAACATAAGCAGTAACACAAATAATAGCACAGGCTCTCAATGAGGCAGAGAATAGTTAAAAACAAATAGGTCAGGCGCGGTGGCTCAGGCCTGTAATCCCAGCATTTTGGGAGGCCAAGGCGGGTGGATGACTTGAGATCAGGAGTTCATGTCCAGCCTGGCCAACATGAGGAAACCCCGTCTCTACTAAAAATACAAAATCTTTAGCCAGGAGTGGAGCAGGGCGCCTGTAACCCCAGCTACTCCAGAGGCTCAGGCAGAAGGATTGCTGGAATCTGGAAGGTGGAGGTTGCAGTGAGCTGAAGTCACGCCACTGCACTCCAGCCTGAGCAACAAAGCAAGGATCTGCCTCAAAAACAAATAAATAAACAAATAAGCTTAATCAGTAAGGCTGAAGCAAGAAGCAAGAGGGCAGGTAGCAAAAGATGAGGTGGAGCAGGAAACAAGATCATGAATCTGCCATATGGATGTTCAATATTTTCCTGAGGGCAACAGAGAGTTACTGAGAGTTTCAAGCAAGGAAGTGACCGAAAAAATGTACATTTCAGAAATCGCTCTGTATACAGTACAGGGAGATGACTATGGGAAACAATGCTGGGGTTGGGGCAATAATTCATAGCCAGCTGCAGCAACGTAGATGGGAGTGCCTGGGGCCTGGGACTAAGGTGAGCTCTAGGAAGGAACTAATGGGGATGAATGAGAAAGAATATGCATGAGGGAGAATTAACAGGAGCTGGACATGGCCATATGTAGCCTGGGGTAGTGGAAAAGTGATGGATAATGCCCAGGCACTGGCTTGCAAAACTGGGAAGGCAACAGTGCCTATCAGCAAAATGAAAGACACAAAGAAAAGCAGAAGTGCTCAGAGCTTGGTACATCCTGGCCTTTCCATGTCTGTGGAACAGCCACAGGACATGTCTTCTAGGCAGTTGGATATTTGGGTCAATAGTTCCATTAGGGAGTCATCAGATGGAAATGGAATGAAAGCCAGAGAGGCGGACAAGATCGCCTTCAATATGACTTTTCAAAAAGCCAGTCAATGGGGATGCATTGAGAAAAGAATCTGGGAACAGAAGTCCTGAAGAAAACCATGACTGAAAGAAGTTAAAGGAAATGAGTCCACAAAATGTTGTAAGATGAAGAGCCAGAGAGGTTGAAGGAACCAGGAGAGTGTAGTGCAATGGAAGGAAAGGAAGACCCTAGCTCATCAAGGAAGAAGCTGTCCTCTGTGCCACAGGCTTCTCAGAAGTCAAGTAAGGTAAGAACCCTAAAACATCCCTCACATTCAATGCTGATGAGACCGCTGGTCCCTTCGGTGAGAGCTTCTCGGTGATGGAGTGACGGCTGCACCAGACAGCCTGTAGTGGGTAGGGATAAACTGTAAGGTGGGAGAGTATCTCAAGGGAGAGGCACAGTCAGAAATGTTTTTAAGATGTGAGACACAAATATGATTCCACGCAGCTGGGAAGCAGTTAGGAGAACAGGTGGAGTTATACATGAAGGTGCAGAGAGGGGCCATTAAAAGTGTGAGGTCCTTGAGAAGGAAAAAACAGATGGCATTCAGAGCCCAGGTTGACAGACATGTCTTTGCCAGGATTGGGCCAGCAAAGCCACGGATAGAGCAATCCAGAAGCAACACAAAGAGCATAAAAGTTTGCAGAGACAGAACCAATACTTTCATAATCAGTCAGTCAGAAGCCTAAAAAGGAATTCGACATCAAGGACCAGAAAGCTTTCCTGTTTACGTTTCCTGTTTTCTGCTGTAACCACAGTCTATGAGCACAGTGGGTCGGGGCACAGGAGTTTGAGCAAGGAGAAAAAAAGATAAAGACTCAGCTCTACCACACACCTGCAATATGCCTTTAAATCTAGCCACTTGACTTCACAATGCAAACTGATACCTTTATTTACCAGCTTACTATGAGCAAGTCTAAAATGAGTCTCAGTGCTGTTGAAATGAACCGGAGGATGTGTAGAGAATGAAACTCCAAGTGTTTATTAAGTGCCTACTTCTCAGGGGCTGTCCCTGTACTTAAGAATATATATTTTTTTTACATTTGAGTAGCATTTGACTTGTAATTACCATACTGCATCCAAAATGCCTGGAAAGAATATTCAAAATGTGAATTTCCTAGAGTCAATCCTGAGACTAAGTTGCAGTAGCTTGGGGATAGAGCCTGGGAATCTGCATTTTTGTCAGGTTCCCTGATGATGCTAGAGGACCATTTGGAAACCCAATACTATATATCACATAGCACACCTTCCCACACATTGTCTAATTTAATATGTGTGTTAGGCATTGAAGTGCTCCAATTAGTCATAACTGAAACAAACACAAATACCAATAGCTCACTAAATAAAACACTCCATTATTCATGCGCACATTGAGTCAGGCAGGGTGTATCTACGGAGTGCACACTGCACCAAACCTGATGCTAGGCAAAGGGAATACAGACTTGAACTAGACTTTGGGTTTTTCCTCAAATATTCTTTAGTCTATTAATAAGGAAAAAGAGGAAAGTCAACCCATGATGCCAGCTCAATTTGATAAGTGTTTTGACACGTCTCTGATACATCTTGTGTCCAATATACACATGGTGCTATGGAAGCATAAAGGAGGGTTTCAATTAGAGTGGGCTGAGGGGACAGATAGATTGGAAGGGCTGACACTTGGAGGGGTTATGAATTTTGAGTGGAGGTTAGATCAGACAGGCAGGGAGAGACATTCCAGAGAAAAGGAAGAGCTCGCAGTGTGTCTGTAATAGTGACCCATGCCTACCCAGGAAAGCTCAACCGTCACTGATAAGGGGAAGTGAACTCACTCGAAAGGCATGCATTCTCCAAAGATCTGAAGAAGACACAGAGAAAAATGAATGCAGGTGAAGACATCTTTGTATAATCCACGTAAAAATATATTAAACCAATTAGTGCTAAAGATTTTGCCCAGGGAGCATTCATGAGTCTTTAATAGTTCAATGATAAGAAGTCATGAAAGACATTTTAATACGAACACTCACTTATAGCAAGAAACTTAGAAAACATGGAAATGTGGAAGCCAAACTTGGGAGAGGGCACTGAAGAAGAAATTGATAGAGTGCCAATACATGCATGCAGCTTAAGGGAAACAGGATCCCAGCTGCAAGGAGCTGACCAGGAGGGGTTTCCCAGGCCATTTTTGTGGTCTATAAAAGTAGAAAGCAGATAAGATGTTTAGAGAGTTGGGTAAGTTAGCCACACTGAAGCTGTAAAAATGTTTAGAACAAATAGCAAGGAGATATGGGGTAGTACCTAGAGGGGACAGATGTGATCATTAGTGACTTATTTAAATTCTAGGTGATGTGAACATGCTGAAATGCTGCAGGGATTCCAGGCAAGTTAGCCCTGAGAGTGAGAACAGATACAAAGAGAGGAGGTGTGTGTGTGTGTGTGTGTGTGTGTGTGTGTGAGAGAGAGAGAGAGAGAGATTTTTACTGTTCTGAGATAGGTCTAAAATGAAGGAGAGTATATCAATCAGTACAGGCTAACTGCTATAATAAATAGCCACACAAGTTTGAAGTGGCTTAACCCAAGATTTATTTCTTCACAGTCCAGTGAAGTTTTCTTGGGAGGGGAAATTATCAGCTCTACACAGCCACTCAGGAGTCCTGGCCTTCTTTCATCTAGTGGCTCTTCCATCTATTAGATCCTAGGAGTCCTACCATTAATCCTCTGCATATGGCCAAATGGCAAAAGAAAGTTCTGGAAGATGCTGTTAATGGTTTCAGTTTCAGGAGCAGCACCTGAGAGTGGCTTACTCTACTTCCACCCACATTCCATTTGCCAGAACTCAATCACAGGGCACAGGGCAAATGACTGCAGGGATACAAGGACTTGTCATTTAGCTGGGTGCCCAGAAGGAAGGGAAATGGGATTGGTAAAGCCATATCACCATCTCTAATCCAGATGGATACAGAGCACTTTTTAGCTCAGATCAGGATGAGTATGTAAACTGCCTAAGGCAGTCAAGCACAGGAGATGGAACAGTTTATTTCATTAAAGGATAAAGTGGGGCATATAATTTTTCTGAACCCTTACTCCAGGGCCAATTTTAAAAGATGACAGTTTGAGCCAAGGATCTGTTCAGTCAAATTTGGAGAAAAGCTTTTCATATAGTGCCAAAGAAACAACCAAAAAGAAAAGAGAAAAATGGTAATACACCAGATGGCACCAGCAGAAAAGATCACATACATTTGAGTGACTCCTAATCACTCCCCCATAACTTTGTCCCACACAAATTCCTCACACCAGGAAAGGTTTATTTGAAACTATTAAAACTCCTTCAGGGAACCCCCGCCCCACTCCGCACCACCTCATGATCAGCCCAGGGGCTCACACGCTGAAATCTACAGATAGCTTTAGGTCTCAGAGTATTTGAAGGCGAGGCAGGGCTCTTGCCACCTTAGCACAGAAGCAGTCCTACACCCCAGTCAGAGACATCCTTGGACACTCTATCTATAGCTACCTTTTGCCTGGGGCAAAGGAGTAAGAGAACTGCACAGCTGTCATAAACAAGTAGGGTAGGAGATCATCTCTCTTCCACCAAGAATAATAATAAGGTAGCCTTGATTGAAAGCTCACTCTGTGTCAGACACTATGCTTACATGTACAAACACACAATTCAGTGAGGTAGCCACTATTATTATCTCTTTTTTACAGATAAGGATGTTTCATGATGCCCACAGAGGTTAAATAACTGACTTGAGGTTACCCAGCAATAAATGTTGAAAAAGAGTTTAAATTAGTTGGCCTTCAGAGTTTGTGGTTTGGACAATTATATTCTGCTTTTGACAGCACTGTGTTTTCTCATTGTAAAAGCAGTCCGGATGGAGTAAAAAATAAAAATCAAATAAAACTATTTGAAAACGATATTTTGTGATGAACAGAAAACATTTTCTACAATCGGCATCCGTTATTTGATTGGTATATTTCTTACTTTATGATCTGCTAATTGCCAAAAGATGACACGGTGTAGATGTACTTTCCTTACTTTACTTTTAGCTCCCTGTATTTCAAGCCTCACAGGCAATGTGTTCCCTGCCTTATGTTTCAAGGGGACTCCAGGGTATTTTTTTCTCCCATGTGATTACAAAAGCAGTTAGCCTTTTAGCCTAGCAGGTGCAATGGGAGGAAAGAAAGAGGGAAAAAAAATTAAACTTTAGGCACTATGTCGCCAATCACTGACAATATTATATCTTAATTATGGTTTTAAATATAAATATTATATTTAATATTATATTTTAATTAATTTGTATAGTATTGGAATACTAAACAAAGAAGAACTACCTGCTTACTGTGTAGTCTTGGAGCAGAATGAAATAGAACAGGTAGGGCAGAACACAGCAAAAGGGTTATAAATGTTAGTGCATAAGGTTTGATCTTGGGGATGAAGGAAGGATTTTTTTTTAAGTTATTCAAATGCTGAGTTGCTTCCAAAGAGTTATTATTCTCAGACATCAATAATGAACTCTTCATATACCCTCATCCCAGACAGCTCTGAGTCCAGTTTATAACAAGACGAATAACTCACTTCTTGATCTCTAGAGCCACTTGTTCCATTCTCCTGGCTTCAAGGCCAAAATGAGTTGTTTATTACTTATGGCAAGTATAAAAAAGGCCATCACAACCTGTGGTCAGTTCCATGAATGACAACTTGTTTTCTAATAACTGGCACATGGACAATAGCCAAATTTCTGAAAAGATTTAGGTACACCAAATGCATACAGATGGTCATTTTAACGTCTTTTCTCCCAGCAATATTTTAGCATCTAATTTGATAAATCACTACATTTGGAAGCTGTGAGGGTGTACAGAGACCTTCAGAAAGCAAACATAAACTGGAGGCTTGGCAGTTTGAAGCTCTTCAGGCAGAAAAATCTGGCAAAGAAAAAAGGGGGTTGCGATATGCATCTCCATGTAACCTTGAGCCAATCAGCTAACTTCTCTGGAACACCAATTTTCTCATTTTATAAAACAAGATTTCATTCAGTAAACAGTATAACCTAGTGAAGGCCTGGATCTGGAATCCCATAGGCCTTGGATGGATTACTGGCACTAGCACTGGAGCTTTTGTCTCCTTGTTTGTTACAATTTGGATATTAGTGAGTACCCTACAGAGGAATAATGATTAAATTGTCTACTTAATTTACTCTTAAGTGCCTGGCCATGTGTAAGCGGTCAATACAGGCTGTTTTCATTTTTACTATTACCAGTGGAACCCACTGCATGCCTAGCATTGGGTAAGAGGCCCAGATTACCAGGTTATGCAGAACCCAAGTCTATTCTCAAGGAATTCATGTGACAGGGAAGAGGCAGGGGGCACAAATAGGAAGCATCCAATTTCCCATGGAGAAAGAAAAGAGGCTTCATAGAAAAGCTGCTGGAGCCCAGGCTTAAAGATAAGTAGTTTTGGGACCAGAACCAGATGTCTAAGAACTCTTCGAGGCTTAAAGTTAGAAACTTTTGAAAATGTTGGTCTAGAATATTGTATACATGAAGTTAGAACACATTCATTCATTAACTTTCCATCCAGAAATGTAATCATCAACTACTGCTCGACACTCCCTTTCCCCCCAAACAAACTTGCTTAGCAATCCCAATCCTGGGGCTTGGAAAACACTTTTGTGTCCTACTCTCTGCTTGCATATATGAACTCAACATACGTGAGTTGTGAAGTATTCCTCTTATACTCAGAAAACCTGAGGCCAATATCACAGGCACAGCCAGGGAATGGATCGGCCGAAGCTCAGGCTTCTGGGTCGCATTTGACACCGGGCATCCAATTTTAAACAGGGCACCAGCTCAGGGTCAGCGGCCTCACTCCAGTCAAAGAAGAGGAGCCGACGGTCGCAGGCGCAATTTCAAAGACGTCTGGAGCAGAAAAGGATCTTCGATTCGACCCCAGGGCCATCGGGAACCAAGGCTCTTGGGAAATCCCAGCGCCAGCCTGGGGCAATGTCGCTACCCGCCCTGGGCCGCTCGCAGTGCCTGGGCCACGCTGGGGTGAACTGAGGTTTCTTCTCCACACCCAGACTTAGCTTCGCCGCCGGAGGAGTCTGTCTTCCTGGAACACGGAACGCGGGCGGACTGTGTTCTCGGTCACAATGGGCTCGGACGAGCTGGGGGCCACGGGGGCCAATAGGCAGCAGCGCCTTGCAAAAAGCGCCGCGCCCCCTCCGGTGCGCACAACTCCGCTCCCGCGGGCGGAGCGCAGTCGGCTGTGCGGGGGACGGGGCGGGGCGGAGCGGAGCAGAGCAGAGCTCACTGCAGGCCCGCCCCTGCGCCCCTCCCCCGCCGGCGGAGATTGACAGGGCTCGGGCACCCGCCCCAACCAATGAGCGCGTCCTGGGGCGGGCCCTGGAACCGGCTGCTCCTGCTACTTAGAGTCGTCTGCGCGGCTGTGGGAAAGCAGAGCCGAGCCGGGACTGTCCAAGGGGAGCAGGCGCCCCGGCCAGCGCAGACCCGGAGGCGCACGGGCGCCGCACCGCACGGTTCGGCGCGGGGCAGTGCGGAGCCACAGCCCCACGCGCAGCACAGGACTCACTCGCCACCGCCGCCTCCGCAGCACCCATGGGGACCAGGAGACTTTAAAGGAGTTTGGGGTTTCGGGAGCAGGGAAATCACGGGTAGGGAGAAGCGGCTTTCTTTGCCTTGGAAACGGTTTTTCTTCGTCCGATTGTTTGGATCCTGTGCTGGGTTGGAGGGAGGGGGTCTTTGAGCTGAAAGTGGACCTCTCTACACACACACACTCCCACCCACACCCACACACATACACTGCACCGGCTTTCTCCATCCTCCCCTGCCTCTTTGTTAGGTTATTTTAGACAGAGCAGCCTCGCCCTGGCGCAGTCCGATTGGCTCTGCTGAGGACAAGGCAAGAGAAGTAAGGGGCAGAGTGCACCTGCCTGGGAGGGCAGGTGTGCCCGGGTGCTTGGGCGTACGTGCATCGGCGAGCGTGCAAGCGTGGGGCTGAAATGGTACACGAACGTGTGGGGTCTAAGTGTGCCAGTGTGTCGTCGCGAAGGTTTGTCACTGTGGGTGTATGTGACATTATACACCAGTACACCAGCCTGCCAGTGTCTGAACTCCCAAGTGTCCAAAATGTTGCTGGTGTCAAGTGAATGCCTGAGATTGTGTCCGATTGTCATTGTGCGAGCCGCTGTAAGGGGAGGAAGGCAACCTAGGGAGAAACTGGGAGGTGGGCTGGAGACATGGGAGCTCAGCTCACGGGCCTTAGGCTCCCTTCTCCCTCTTAGCCCACCCCTCCGTCCTTTCCGGGTGTCCGTCTCCCACGCTGCCACAGCCAGCGCTCTCCTCCCCACGGGGACCCCGCAACCTCTCCAGCCAGCCTGGGTGTTTTCTTCTTGGAGTTGAACCGGGTTCCCGGAGGGGTCGGAGGTTGTGAGGTGGCGTCTGCTCTCTCTGTCGCCTTTTGGACCGGTGGCGGCTTCTCCGCCCCTCCTACCCGCGGGGTGGCACGGGGGACTCGGCTGGAAAGGGTAACTCTGGTGAGAGCAGATAGGTGAGCCGGCAGGTTCCAGGGGCACGCACGTCTTGGGGAGGGACACCGAAAGGGCCAGCCCCGACTCTGACGGTGTCTCTGCCTCTCTGTGCTCCGCAGATCCCCGCTCCTGGCCCTCGCCTCGCCGCCTCATTGATGGGCAACCAACTGGACCGCATCACCCACCTCAACTACAGCGAGTTGCCCACAGGGGACCCGTCGGGGATTGAGAAGGACGAACTGCGGGTCGGGGTCGCCTACTTCTTCTCGGATGATGAGGAAGACCTGGACGAACGCGGGCAGCCCGACAAGTTTGGCGTGAAGGCCCCCCCGGGTTGTACCCCCTGCCCGGAGAGCCCCAGCCGCCACCACCACCACCTGCTGCACCAGCTGCTCCTTAACGAGACTCAGTTTTCCGCCTTTCGGGGCCAGGAATGCATCTTTTCCAAAGTGAGCGGCGGCCCGCAGGGCGCGGACCTGAGCGTCTACGCGGTAACCGCGCTGCCCGCGCTCTGCGAACCAGGCGACCTGCTGGAGCTGCTGTGGCTGCAGCCCGCGCCGGAGCCGCCCGCGCCCGCCCCGCACTGGGCCGTCTACGTGGGCGGCGGGCAGATCATCCACCTGCACCAAGGCGAGATCCGCCAGGACAGCCTGTACGAGGCGGGCGCGGCCAACGTGGGCCGGGTGGTGAATAGCTGGTACCGCTACCGCCCGCTGGTGGCAGAGCTGGTGGTGCAGAACGCCTGCGGCCACCTGGGCCTCAAGAGCGAGGAGATCTGCTGGACGAACTCGGAGAGCTTCGCCGCCTGGTGCCGCTTCGGCAAGCGGGAATTCAAGGCGGGAGGGGAGGTGCCGGCCGCCGCGCAGCCCCCGCAGCAGCAGTACTATCTCAAAGTGCACCTGGGGGAGAACAAGGTCCACACCGCCAGGTTTCACAGCCTGGAGGACCTCATCCGCGAGAAGCGCCGCATCGACGCCAGCGGCCGCCTGCGCGTGCTCCAAGAGCTCGCCGACCTCGTGGACGACAAGGAGTAGCCACCGAGGGGCTGCCGGCCCCGCCGCCTCCCCGCGTCCCGCACCCGTCCCGTCCCCGCACCCGGACTTCGCGGCCGGCGGTTTTCAACACCAGTCCCCTCGCGCGCCCGCCGCCGGTGGCCTAGGCCCGGGCTGCACCTCCGCACCCCCCCGCCCCCGGCCGGCGGCAGGAAGTCTCAGGATCTGCCCCGGGGCCGAAAGGGCGCAGCTGAGAGGGTGGTGACGGTGCTGAGACCTGGCGTGCGCTTTCTCCTTAAGATGTGAACCGGGAAAGGGGAAGGGGCTGAGGGGAAAAAGGAACGTGACCTCCCCCGCGAGTCCATGGTCAGTGACTGTGACCCGACCGGGAAACGACCCTCTTCTCAGAAGCCATCATCATCGCCCCGAGCGCGCGCGCACAGACCGGTCGGAGGCAAAAATTGGTCTTTTCAGGGCACAGTTCAGCTCCCCTGTGGATGCGTCCCCAGATGGCAGGATTTCCAGGAAATCGAGACTGTCCCTCGTGCACTTGGGAATAATAATTCCCCAAGACAACACTTGGGGATTCCGGGTTGTCCTGAGGCTGCCCGGGACTTCTCCAGCTCTCCAGCCCCAGGTCTCCTGACATTGTGTTCCAGGCTGCGGGCTAAACCAGACAGTGTTCGCCTCCCGTTCTTTCCACCGAGGGAAGCGAACGCCACCCCTACCCGCCTTTGCCCGCGAGTCTCCCTCGCTGGCCGAAGGGAAGCCGGCCAGGTCCCGGGAGGAAGATGGCGCAGCGAATTCGATGAGGACGGCCGGCCCCGCCCCCGACCAGGAGCTCGCTCGTTCACCTGGTGTCTGGGAACTTGAATGTGTGATGGGCGCTTATTGTTCTGAACCCTTGATTGCTCCCTCCTCGGGCTGCATTTCAAAAATAGTCATATTTTTAAAGGAGTTGGAGGAGAGGGAGGGGGAGGACATGGCACCGTTCCAGAAACCAGCATTATTACAACACCATAGCCAGTATATTTAGTTTGGCTTTTCCTAACATAGAAATCTTTGAAGGTGGGGGAGTGGGAATAAAGTTTAAAAAATGAGAGAGCAGTTTTCCAACTATGTCAACAAAGCCTATCGTGTTGATGTTTTTATTGACCATTTTAGCAACATGCTAATACAATTTCAAATTGAAATTTTTATTTTCATGGCTTTAATCCATGATAGTTTAAATCCTGGGGCCATGAAGAGTGGGTGTAGCTAAGAGCTTAGCTAACATTGCCTTTTCCCTCTATTTTTCTCAAGTATTAGAAGAATTCTGTTTTTGACTATTGTAGTTAGCTTTTTGGCTTTAAACAGCAGCCCTAGTAATGGTGGAGTTGTTAATGAATGTGTATATTGTACTGAATTTCTGTCAGTTAAGGGGTTCACTGCTTTGGTGGAAATTGCTAGCAGGTTCCATGATGTTTCTTTTCTCCATGTTGTACCTCATTACCATTTCACATTTGCATTTCTATTTTTCTTCTTCTCCTCCTGATCTCCTTAAAACTGAATCTAGAGTTGGTGGCTTTTCCCCCTCCTCTTTAGCCAGTTCCACAGTTCAGTTCTTGCTGAAAACAGGGAAGAACGAGTAGGATCAGGACAAATGTGTGTTTTTCAAAAACTGAAGGCTGGGTGTGAAACCCCTTCCTTGGACAAGGTTTATAAACGTCTCTCCTCCTGCTGCAGCCCCAGCCTAACTGATAGTTACTTGATTCAATGTGTTAGACACTTATAGCATTTAGGTCTCTTTCAAGGGAATTTGTCAAATAATGCTGTTTAGCTCATTGTTGCAAGCAATTGCACATTAACAGCTGTGATTGGGTTGGACAGAAAGTATCACGACCAAAGCCAGTTTCTTGGCATTTCAAAAATAATGCAATAAAAACTAGTTGAGGTTAGCTGAGACTGGAAATGCCTTTTTCATGGTAAATGATTCACTTCTTTTTCTTTCTTTCTTTCTTTTTTTCTTTGGTTTTCATCCTGGATTCATTCCCTGATCTTAAATCAAAAGGTCAGATCAATGAAATATGAACTAAAGTATTTTTCTTAAGCCTATTGAGTGATTTATTTTTTAAAAAATGTTTAAATGCATATGCTTTTCTTTTAGCACAACAGCAAAACTTTTGTAATAACTAACTTACCCTTGCATGCATAAATAACTGAAAGTCATTTATTTCCCTAACTTATTCCTCTTTGAAATAACAGGTGGCAGATCATAAAACGAAATTCTTTATTGTATCTACACACTCCACGTTCCTTACTGTGTCCTACTACTGTACCTTGGCTCCCTGCTGTATTAAACACCATCTTAAGCACTTGTTCCTGCAGGACTCCTTCTTGACATTTTGTCTTCCCCCTCAAAGTCACTCAAGGGTGGGACTTCATCAAAAGAAATGAGTTAGTCTCCATCACACCTAATACTAAGATGGATTTCCTCTGATGGTACGTAGATTTCTCTCTCACTAAGAGGTCACTCTCATAGAGGAATGGCTTGTCAGCTTTATACTTGCCGAGGCTAGACTGGCAATAAAAATGAATTGGGTAGTTAAAGTAGCATTCGTTACAATATTGGCCTATAAAAGGATTGGGTTCATGATAATACCTCTACAAATACGCAATAATAAAACAATAGTTACAGAAGAAACTTGAAAGGTTTGCAAAGTTTCTCATATTCCTGTTGAAATAATCATTTATTATCTCTTTGTTCAGTATGAATGGCAGAAAAATTTGAGTAATAGTTCATCATGCAGAGGATATGGTCAAGATGTTACCAAATGGCTCTATTCTGAAAAAGGTGTATATGTTGACAATGTGAGTGAAACCAAGATGTTGAAATTTCCCATGGCAGATGGCATGGGCACACTTGATTTTTATTGTGAGTGAATGTAATCATTCTGTATTTTACCAGAGTTGTAGAAATTAGCCCAAAAGTTTCCTAAATACTTTAATGGTATTAGGAATTTAGTTTTGGTATTAGGTTTCCTCTAGAGACCGCAGCTTCCTAGTAATTTCCATGGTGTTGGGTGTGGCTAAGCTGGGGCTGGGTTCTGTTGAGCCTGCTCCGGTGTAGGGGAAAGCTATCTTTATACTGCATCTTTTCTCCACTTTCAGGTAGTGAAAACAAACTATGATTTTAAAAAAAGAAAAAGAAAAGAAAAGACAGGTACTTTTACTTCAAAGAGTGCTTTGCTCCACTTTTATTTAAACCAAAAATAAAATAAGGAGGAGGGCTGGATATACTTTAAACAAAAACCAGTCTTGAAATACTGTTATTCTCAAAGTACATTCCTTATATTAAAAAAAAAAAGCTATAGAATTTACATACATTGCATTTTTAAAAGTATGAGTTAAATCGATATAAAGTGTTCAATATTTAAAAATGTAAGCTGCTGTCATGACAGTATTTTATTAAAATAATATGTATTTTAGTTAGAAAAGAATTTTGCTAGATTAGAACATCAAGCACAGAGCCAGCTGTATGCTTTACTTGATTTTTTTTTAACTTTTGTGTTTACGGAATATGGCTATTTTATTTTTCTTGGAAACTTATGCTATTGGTGTTTACAAAATAACGAATTGCCCGAATAAGCAGTATATACTAAATATACTAAAAGTCTTCAGACATCGCTTTATTGATCACTTGTTCTGTGGTGCACTTTCAACATCCCTAAGAGTTAAATGTCTTAGTCACCTAAGTGGAACAGGGTCAGATTTCAATGAAATTTATAACAATTGCACAATCACAATATACCAACCTAATTTTCTTTTATTCATAGGCATATCTTTTAAGCTTCTCATTTTTGAACAAATGAAGATAATCCAGTTCGTTTTTGCGTTTTAGAGGTTGCCACATGCACAAAGGGTCTGTAGGTAAAAGACAGGCTTTTGGGTTTCTTGAAATATTAAAAACTGTATTTACAGAATAGTTATCTAACACTTGAGTCGATGTATATTTTTTGAAAATCACTAGCTATTCATATAATATACATATATACCTGTATACATATATACAGACATGTACATTTACATAGTTGTAAATATACACATATACATATATACACATATGTATACATATATAAAATCTGTGTACACATACATTTCTGTCTATAGCTAGCAATTGTTTCATTCAGATACACACACACACACACACAGACTACTTAAAAACGAAATGGAGAGTGACTTGAGATATACCACAATAAGAGGAAAAAGCCCTGGTGGTCATATAGCTAATGTATAACTGGGCAGCAAGCAGCTTTGCTTAAAGCTAACACTAAACAAAAAGAAAATGTGGGAGTTGTGCAATTAGTTTTATTCTCATTTCTGGAAGAATATGTTCCTGATTTCTCTAACTAAAAAGAAACAATTCAAAGGAAAGCTGTAAATATTAGGAGGTAATTGAAAAATAAGAAGCAAGATGAAGTGGGGAGGTTACGAGATGATATGATGAGCTAATAAGCTTTTCAATAGGGTTCACCTGTTCTCCCTTCTAATTGAAGACAAGAAGAGCTAAGATCCTATCTTTCAATCATTTAGTAATTTTAAAAATCCCATTATTTCATAATTCAAAGTTTACCTTTGAGCTTGTATTTTTACCTCATTTGAACTCTAAATAGAAGAGGTTTAAGTATTTGAATAACTGAAAAAAAGAAAACAGTCTTCCCTGCCCTTGTCACTGACGATGACACTACTTGTAATTACTGTATTTTTTGGAAAAACACTCAGATGAATGGCTTCCTATGTTGTGGACTTTTATCATTCTTTTTGATGGCTGATAGAACAAAGCACACAGTGGCTACTCCATAAATATAAGACTATGGTACTGTCTAGTACAAGTGTTTCTCACTGATTCTTAGTTACCAGGAACACCAGAAAGCCTATCCCTTGGCTTGCCTGCAAAGACGAGCCTAAATAAATTTCTCTAACTAAAATATGTGGGTCTTTCCACCTCAAAAGGCTCATGGAAATACACCTTGTGGGGCTTAAGGCTAATTTCAGTTCAAGGGTATTTGGAATATTTGATTTGCTTCTAGCAGAGAAAACAAACTACCAAAGAATCCAGGAAAGGTAGAAAATGTTCTCTTGTCATTCAGTCAGAAAGGGAAAAGCAAACTAACAGTTCTGACTATAACTTTCACGAGTTCGTCTCTCATTCACCTCAAGGAGAGATTTTTCTCACATGAAATCATAAGATTATTCCTTCAGAAGGAAGCTTATTGTAGCTCTTGCTAAAAATTTTCTTTGGTATGTAGGAATAGACTTACTAGATGTACACCTAACTTGGGAAAATTAGATTTGATGGAGTTTGGTCATGGGTGTTTTCTAAATAATCATTACTCATTTATATATTAAAATACTATAATAATTGCTATGCCCTTGGCTTTCATAAACCAATTCTTAATGTGAACATAAGTTCTGAACTTAATTTTGTCCAAAGGATAGATGTTTATGAAATACTAGGTATGAATATAGTCAATGTCCTAAATTTCAGTGCAAAGTAAATGCTTCAAAAGTTACTTTGAGCATCATTTAATGGTTCAAAACACTTAAAAAGATCACATACTGCTTATATGTATCCTAAGAAAATTCTTGCCATCAGTGTGTGATACAGACATTAATGTTGTATTTGAGAGCTTCTTTATTATAAGAACACTTCCTTTTGCTTTAGTAAACAAGTTATTATTCTGCATTAAGTCATTTTCCCCTGACAATCCTATGACATACCAGCTCTTTGCTCACTTCCAAGTCCACTGGAGATTTCAGATTTTGCAAGGGGGTGAGCAGATCTAGGGAGATCATACCCATGATGACTTTGTAAAACATCTTTCAGCAATAGCATACACTTAATTCCTATTCGCTTCTCAGTGCAAGTGTCTGACCAAGGGGTGTGAGCTAGAAGGAGGCAAGGCTCAAGGGTAGGGTTGCCAGATTTAGCAAATAAAATACAGGATGCTCAGTTACATTTGAATTTCAGATAAATTATTATTGATTTTAGGATTATTGTTTTAGGATAAATATGTTCCCTACAATATTTAGGTTGTTTGTACTAAACATTATCTGTTTCTCTGAAATTCAAATGTAACTGCATGTCCAGTATATTATCTGGCAATCCTACTCAAGGATAACTTTACCATCTCTGAGAAGCAATAGAGCCCCCTGACTTTTTGGAGCTGGCAAACTAAGGACACATCCCCTACCCATGGCACTGATGATTTTGCATGTGTCTTTTTAGGCCCAAGTCAGATTCAGGCCCAGAAATGAGCACACAGTGCAGGAGAAGCCTGAGAAGGGCTCACAGCCCCCATGATCATTGAGAGAGAGTTGGTTGTGTGTATGTGTGGGTTGGGGTGGGAAGCTGTTTTATGTGTCTCTATTCTTGTACTCTCTTGATTCTATTTTATAGGAGACACCATCCTTTACCTGGGGATATGATGAATACATTCCTAGATATAGTCAGGAATATTGTATGCTACTGTTTTTCATCCCACCTGCTATTTATCCCATTCTGGATCATCACTTTACACCTGGCTGTTTCTATAGCTTCCTCACCTGTCTTTGACCCTCTAGCTCCTCCATCCAAACACCTATGGCCATAGTAATGTTTCTAACCACAGAACCATCACTCGCAAGTAAAGGCTGAGCTCCTTAGTGGGGCAGTGAGCATCTTCCATGGTCTGACCCCTATCTTCACCCGCTTGCATTTTCTTCAACCCTCAGCTTACGCTCAGGCCATGTTAAAACTTTTTGTAGAACATGCAGTTTTCATTCGCACTCTATGACTTTCTTTGTTGTCCCCTTATTCTGATCAGTATTCTAAATTCCTGAACAGCAAACTCTTGTTCATCTATGCTTTATGGCGAGCTCCATGCGAGCCCCTCAGGTGGCTTTACTTGTTCTCTTTTATAGCTCCCACTGTAGTTTGTTAGCACCCCCAGACTCTCTCTCCAAGTACAAATGCCATTTATGTCTGTCTCTTCCTAGGTCTATTGCAGAAGGCTCTGTGACTTGCTCATTTTTGCTGCTGAAAAATCTAACACTTGCAGTAGGTGCTAAATTAGAGTCTGTTCAATCAGTGGAGGAACAGGGGGAGGGAGAAGAATTGACTTCTCTGTAAGTACGTGAAGAATACTGCCCAGCATCTCTCTCGGAGGTGAACCATGGTAGGAAGGGGCTAAAAGTGCATATCAACTTATACAGGATTCTCCTTAAGAGCCATACAGTAGAAATGTAGTTTCTGTTTGGAAAATAAGCTGCAATGATGTGAACCTTCATTGCGGTATATTACACTGCAAGTGATGAGAGATTAGCTATACAGAGT